GTCATACGACTTCGAAAACATGATATCGTGGCATTAGATCTCCCAAAGCAACATGTAAGCCGCATGCCTGTCATGTCGGTCGTCATTTAAAACCTTAGATATATGATATTGTACACATATTTTGATAAAGGGTTTTTCATAAAAACCACCTTTAAAATGGGTTGAGATTACAAAAAGCACCTTTCAAGTTTAATTTATACAGAAACCATCTTTAAAGAGGTTTTCCATTGCAATCAACCACAGTGTTATTAATGTGCAACGCGTAATTTAGGGCCCTTTACGCGCACATGCAGAAGGCACAACATGATGCGCGTGCTCGAGTGAAGCGAGGTGTACACCGCACACACAATTTTACAAGATAGATAATCGAGCACAAAAGAACATTTTTATGAATTTTCACATAAAATATGTCCAGATATATAATATCTACTAAAAATCACAATATAAGGTTTAATTCTCAACGCTAACACATCTCACATAGTAGCAAAGTTCACAATTCTCCAAAATAAAAGTAAAATCAAGACTAATATCGAAGCAAACTCAACTAGTAAATGAGGATTAGTTAAGGTTCTTAATCGAGCTACCAAAAAGCCTAATGGGTTTATTTTGCTCTTTCAGATATGGGTTATCAAGCATAAAGACCCGGGTAAATTGTTAAAGAACAAAAGGTTAGATATTACATGCACCCTACCAAAAGCGCATGGTGTTTGCAAGGTGCAAAAAGCAGTACTACATCAGATGAAAGCACTTTGCCATTGTCCCACATTGCACAGCGCATGAGACACGGTTCGGCACGTGCCTTTAATAGAACTGCAACCACCTTGACTAATTTTTTGTAGAAATTCCAATTGAAATCTCCAAAATAACCTTAAAATACATGTGTTAGGATCATGACATATATGATTAACCACTGTTGACATATTTTTCAGTGTGTTTTTCAAAAGCATTTTAGATATTTAATCAAAACTTAACCAGCAAATAGGTCCAGGTGGTTTCATTAAAAACTAAACTCCCTTTAAAGGTGGTTTTTTTATATAAATTGAAATTGAAAGGTTGTTCTTGTATTTTCATCCAATTTTAAAGGTGGTATTTGTGAAAAAAAAAACCTTTGCTAAATAATTAGTTACATCAAATTGAAAAGAAATTTTTCTATTTCTTTCTATAAAATCTTTTTTTGCCAAAAAGAAAAGAAAATAGAATTTCTAAGAATCTATTGAGTACTTTTTAATAAATTCTAATTACATCATTTATCGAAGTATTTTGCAAATTAAGTTGAACCTAGAGATCAAATGTGGAAAAGTGTCCAAATATTGAGTGATTCCCAATTAAAATTTAACATTTTCTTGATTAAATCTACTTTCAATTTTCAAACTATGATAGGTCAATATTTAATTGAAATATAATTTTTAACTACTTGATCTTATATCTAAACTATAAATTCATGACTAACAGTTCAAGCATGACATCATAAATACACTTTTTACCAAGGATCCTTACGAAGTTCTTCTGAGGGAAATACTAAAAGTCGATCCACATAAAATATAAGACAAAATTCACTAAATCTCTGTTCATAAATGATGTCAGTTCATGTTTCAATTGGGACCTACATTGATTTCCCCCTCAAAATAATGAAAATGAATTTAGCAGGCCTCATATTGATAGCTATTCGTAGATAGATATTCTCTAATGTTGATCATACACTTTTTATAGGAGTTACAATTTTGTTAATTAAAAATTACCTGTTTAACTAAGACCGTGCAGAGATTCGAGTTACGCCAAGTGAAGATGGACGAGTGTTTTATCAGTGAGTTTGATATATAGCCTCAAAAGTAAAAAAAAAAATATGGATTTATTGATTAGCCTCTACTAAGTACTTTTCCTTAGCCTATATGGAGTACATGGGCATGTGTTCATAATAGGTGGCATCATCTCTCTTAAACAGGGCCTACATGAAATATTGGTGTTCTAATAATAATAATAATATAGTTAAATGCACATTTATTATTTTTAGAAATTGCTTCTTAACTTTTTAGAAAGCAATTTAATATGTTTTAATATAAGAATTTAGTAAGTATGTACATGTGCGTGCAAGATACTAGTATATTTCAAGTAAGCCCATCTATACAGCTTTCTAATGAGCAAACAAGCTAGGTATTATTTAGGTTCTATAAAAGAAAATGAATATTTAACCCTAGTTATAGCATTTGGATTTGATTTGAATGAAAAGAGAAAAAAGTCGTGTGTCTCTTCTTAGTCAAGAAAATAGCCCAAGCCCAAGCTAACATATACTGAAACCATTCAGTTTACACTATTATGGTCGGGACTAATTTTAATTAGCTCTTTCTGAAATTCTTTGCCACTCCACTATTCGTCAAGCACTTAACTCCTCTTTCCCATGTTTGATAATGACAAGCTACAATATTTCCAACTCTTCACTCACAATCGCAATCTAATTACTTCTCTCTCCATTGGTCGCTCTATTTTGTCAAGGAACAGCAACCATGAGATTGAGAGAACTCAACACCATAAACAACTTCAACCGAGGACCATGACAGCAATGGAGCGATGACGTAATAAGGAAGCAGAGACACCAGCAATGGCGCAAAGACCAAATTAATGGACCGAATGCCAAAGAGGAGAGAACTCTACAATCTAATTAAATTCAAAAATCCTAGCTAAGAAGTAGGAATCCCTCCTCTCACTGGTGTCATTTTATTAAACGTTGAAACTAGAAGAGAAATTCAGACTCTATCTCCCCTCCCCCCTCTGTCAAACATAATAACCAATGAAAGAAAAATGTTGAGCATTACAGATTTGAAATTTACAAAGCATTCTTAACCAAGGTTGAATGCAATACATAAGCACCCTCCCACCTGTAACATCGGTATAATGGTACATGTAAATGGCTCACTCATGTGTATTAATTGATATCTCACAAAGATAAGTATCAGTTCATATGATGTTTCTGAGTGATATCAATGTTATAAGGAAAATGTCTGCGTTTTGATGCTATTAGCTCATATTTGGACTATTGTCTAAAGAAAGGTTAACCAGGTCATTCAAGTAGCAGCCTATATGTTATGCATCGGGTTTGGATGTATCGGGTTCGGGTGAGATTCAAGGTTTTAAATTTCTAAGCCCAATATTCATCTTCTCCAGCGGCGTTTTGATTTAGGACAGAAATACGAACAAGGGTAACGTTATAAGGTCTAAATGGTTTCAGATTCTACATTAGGAATTCAAACCCAAACCTACTTAATACTTTTTGAATTGGATCACACATTCAATTTAATTAGGTTATGTGTTTCGGGTTTCTAGCTCAATTCTATAAAATGAGAAATGTGATGTATTAGTTGCAGGCTTGTATTCAAATTCAACCTAGAGTGTCTATTCGCATTGGTTATTATAGTTTGAACATGATTATGGATTCGGATTCTCAGTAGTGTATCAGTCATTTTCTTATCCATCAAAAACAAAAGTGAACATTTGGAGATTTTTATTCAATTAAAACATTACTTACAAGAAGTGGTAACCAAAGGATGTGATGTTGTTAACAGACATACCCCATATGCGCAATAAAAAATGGTTATAAAGGTATCATCAGGTAATTTTGATAACTAAACATTACACTTATAAACTAAATAAAAGGCACAATCCCAATTGAACTTTTTTTGTAACAAATATGTTACATAAGAGGTCTGTATCAATTTGTTACTATATCTTCATGTGTATTATAGTACAAATTGGATATTCTTTAGATTTGGTTGCTAATCAGATAAAAAAATTAGGAAGAAAATTATATTTACATTTAAGTCACGTTTTTGGACAAATCTTTAAAATATTCGAAAAAATAGCAAATTGTAACATAAATACATTAGGCTAAATGACATTTGATTGCATCCCTATCAGATAATTTAGTTGCAAAAGGTTGATTTACATCCATACCTTACAGGTGTGCTTGGCAACTTCACACTTATCTGACTAAGGCCTTAACCGGATAAGGATTGAACCAAGGTGGGGGTGGTCCAGAGATAACCTAGTTGAGGGCCTTTTTTCAACTAATGAACTAGTCTAATTTCGTTTGCTCATACAAGATTTTGCCAAACACATTTTAAACCCTTAACCAAGTTAGTCCTATTATCATGGTTAGCAGGTGAGTTGCCAAACAGTCCAAGTATATGTTTATGTATTCCCCTTTCTAGCATTATCGTTTAAACTACACATGCTCAATATTGCTTTACCTCAGTATGTCCACAATATACTGATGTCCAAATTATTTTTTGTATTTATTAAATCATGCACCGATGTTCTATCAACCCTCACCATTTAAATGCACTTGTGCAACCTCAACAACACTATGGCAACATAAGAATGGTGGTTCTCATGAAAGAGTCAACAATTCCAATCACAACCAAACTGGAACTAGACATGCCTAAACAATAAGAATCCAGACCCCTTGTAAACACAATTGACTCCTCATTTAGTCATTGTGGGACTAAATGAGCCCTAACATACCACTACACTTCCAGAGTCTTGGCATCCATGCTGGACGGACGTGCACTAGTCTAGGCCCAGTCGAACACTGCAACACTCGAGTTGGCTTTAATATCATCTGTAAGGGACTTGGCAGAACTCGCCTACAAGCTAGCAATTAGTGGGACATTGCCCAAATCCCATATAAACCCACAATTGACTCTCCATTTGCCAATGTGGGACTAAATGGACCCTAATAAAAAGTTTCACAAACACTTCCCTAATCTTGACAATAAGCACGCCGCAACGCAAAGCAATCAATCAAAACATTCAAATGCTCCAAAACCTACGAAAAATCCTTACACTTGCAATCCACTACATAAACCACCAATAACTACCCTACCTATCCCAAGATCAAAACTTCCCTCATTATACATACAATTCCCCTCAAATTACCATCAAATCACAAGAATAAGTTACAAATTAGAAGATCCGAATTAAATAAAAAGAGAAAAGGAAACCCTAACCTCTGTGTCCTCTGTCGATTGTCATCATCTTGAAGGGAGCGATCGTTGTGATTCATGTAGATCCAATCCCATTCCCCGATCTTCAAAACAAAATGAAATCTGAAAGAAATTAGGGAAATGAAACCGACGAATTTAAAAATGAGATTTTTATTTCTTTCTATTTTTATTTTTAATTTTTCGCTAACTTACACGTGATTCGAGCGCTCGAGAGCGAGAATGAGGATGACAACTTGCTTTCTTTCCTTGATATAGATGTACTTTCTGACAGGTGGGACCCACCAGTTTTCCGTTCGCGTCATTTTGTGATCGGCTGTGATGGTGTTTGGTGTTAGGGGACTGTAGGAATATTTATTTGGCACTTTTTGGTGGGTTTCAACGTTGAGATTTCGGATGCGATATATCACGTAAAGATTTTTCTTTAAATTTATTTCTTTTTTAAAAAGCTTACGTGAGGATTGTGGATATTTGGAATTTGGAGAGAATTTGAGTTCCTTTTTATACCTAACTCCTCTCTTTGCACTACCTTAATAACAACCATCACTACAACAAGAGTTATAATTTAATTTTTTTCAACCTTGTGACACGCTGTTGTTTCGCACAAATGGATAGCAACACAAGTTACACAACTCAACAGTGTAGGTAGAACACGTGCGGAGAAACTTTCCACACATGTAACAATCTGTAGTAAAAATCGTGTAATGTGACATATATATATATATATATATATATATATATATATATGTATATATATATATGTATCAAGAGTTGCAACACATTTTCTGTCGATTACCACTCATATACCACTGTTTCTTATATCCATTGCTAATCACTTTGATATCAATATTTCTCGGTGTGAGCTTGAGCTTGACGTGGGTTGTTCATGTATCGAGATTGAGATGGATGCCCAATTAGTAGCGAAGGAATATTACTGCTGAGGATTGGCACAAGTTTGCCATCAGTATCTCTTCTTCAATGAAATTATAAATTTACCCTCAAAAAAAATATCAATATTTCTGTCGAGAAGGAAGAGTAACTAAAGAATGTATAATGTCCAAGCTAGTTATCTGACAACATAAACCTAGCATATTAATTTAAGCCCATTCCTTTCCTTGCAGCCGAGTGATGTGGGACTAAAACTTAAAATGAAAACGAGTGTCTTGATGGCGCAAGACTTTACCACCGAGGAGGCTACCAACTTCGACGACCATGATAGCAAACATGTGGGACTAAAACTATTTTTTTATATTTTGTTGTAATTTGCATCTCACAACACAAATAAGTTTGGGACTAAAACTATTTTTTTAGGTCCTAACTCTACTTTGTTCGTCGAGCAACTCTTAACCCCAGCCCAACCAATTACCTCTCGTATTTTAACCTTTCTATCATTTTCTGTTGATTTCAAGTTTCAAGAATTAGCAAACTCATCTTTTTGTTTGTTCAATGAGTTGGTTCTACTGCAAATAATAAGATTGAACCTGAGGATTGACCAAGGCACCACGAACAATGAGATGGAACCTGAAGAAGCTTTGAAGTCGACTCTTCTTGTGGCACTCGGTATTAATGTGTATCCACATATGTTGAACAGTCAATGTTTTGCTTCCTTTCCCTCTTCGTTATGTAAATATTAACATTGCTAATCACTTGATATATGTTGAAGAATAGAGACTTCATCTTTCCAACTGATTTTGGTTAGACTAACTCTCAACCCTCTATCTGTAATAAGTTGAGTCATGATTCTAGATATGAACATGTATACGGATATATTTGTTTGTAGTATGGTATAATCCTTATGTTTTCTAACTTCAGCTATATTTAAAAAAAAAAATTTCTAGTACATCTCTTGCCCAAGCTGCTTTATAATGTTATCTTTTTGGGCAACATCAAATTCCTTTCAACCGTTATGAGTATTAAGATTAAATCATTTCAGAGAAATATGTTTGTCAATTGTTTACATGGATTTAAATTCATTTTTTTCACCCGCATTATGCGGAGGTTCTTTGCTAGTTTCCTAGAAAAAAAAAGGTCAAATTTTTAATCTTTTATGTGAATATCATATTGTAGAATTTACAAGCCTGCAGGATAACAATTAATGTATGTGCAAATGTATATGCAATCATCTATGCCAAACCATATCAAGTAAGGTTTCAATGTTCTCAAATGACACGGTGATATAAGATTCCTGTAAAAAGTAGAGGGATGTCAGTAAACATTGTACTATTAACCAGACAAGAACAAAGTTCAAACGTAGATTAGTCATTTAAGAACTTAAATCATAATAACACAAGATGCTAAGCATTAAAATTAATGACAATTAATACGCTACATAATTAAAATGATTTTTTTGGCCAAAAAATGGCAACAGAAGCAGAAGGATAAAAAGGAGAGAAAAAACCTCTAAATTCCACATGGGACTCCACAAGTATCAGTAACTGAATCCATTTAGATTGGAGACAATTATCTACAACAAAAATGGTAGACATTTATCACTCACGACCTAATGGACTATGCATAAGAAGTTCAATAATTTTGTTGGCGCATGTGGCTAAATCTGAATAAAACAGATCCTGTTACAGAACTAAAGTGCTATATTTTAAAACTTTTTAAGTTTAGTTGATGTGTGTTTATGAAACGCTGTGTTTAAAACAATATTTGGTCTACTCCGGCGCAAGGATCCTAAAGCCAAACTGCTTCCAGAAACATCAGTACAGTATACTGGTGTGCACCGACCAAGTACTGTAAAGATCTCCTCGATTTATAAGACCTTTCGGTCAAGGAAAGATCTCATTGATATGTTAAACCTTTCGGTTCAAAACCTTTCGGTTTAGGTAAAGATCTCTTTGATCTGTTAAAACCTTTCGGTTTAATAACCTTTCGGTTCAGGCAGAGATCTCTTCGATCTGTTAAAACCTTTCGGTTCAATAAATTTTTAGTTCAGGCAAAGATCTTTCGATCTGTAAAAACCTTTCGGTTCAGAGATATGTTTCTTTGGGCACATTTCACGCTTTCAGACTCTGCAACAGCAACACAACAGCACAAAACACTTGTGTATTTTTCGTATCTTTTTTCTTTCATATCTCCAAGAGCTCCCCAAGAAACACAATATATAGGCCTCTAAGACTAGCTCAAAGGTCATCCACATTTAATTTGACCATTACAAACATAATGGCAATTATGATAATTATATTTGTAATGACAAATAACATAAATGTTATAACTATTGCATGTAGTAACGTCTGAACGTGAGGGTCGTAATCCTACGCAACATGAGGGTCACATTCTTGCGCAATACAAGGGTCGCGTCCAGCCTCGCGTGAACGCGAGGGTCGCGTTCCCTCTTATGAATGCGAGTGTCGCACCCTCATGCGAACGCGAGGTTCATTTGCATGCTGCGAGGCAGCCTGCATGGCCGCCAAAGGGCGCCACCTAGCCCTAATGCATCTGTATGAAGTGCAAAGTGCGCCTTATAAAGTGCCACTTAGCGCCTCAGCCCGATTAGCCCCAATCCTCGGCTCATTAGCCCATGGCCCACGAGCCCACGGGCCCACGGCCCATGACCCACTAGAACTTATGAGAGATTAATGAAATAAAAATAATTCTTGGTTTACCGTTGACAAGCCTCGAACACAGGACCTTTGAGATATCAAAACTTTATCTTTCCGCTACGCTATTAAGGATTTCTAAAAAATACTAGTAGTTAATAAATCCATAGTTTGAAAACTCAATTTTGGAAAGCGATTTTGACCATATCCAACAATCCCCCATAAGTTTTTAAACTAGTATCGTGTAATAGTGTCGTTGTTTCAATCGTTGTGCATAAGGTAGATGTCGCAAGGACTTGCATCCCCCTTAGACCAACTGAATAAAAGATAGATGCATAGTGTTGCAGAGACTTAAACCAGCACATGTCTAAAATCCAGTGATCACACAAGATCAAACTCATATGTGGTAGTTTTTACTTTGAACCACACTTGCATTTGCCTTGCACATTTATGGCCATGTGCATGTCCTGGTTTCAGCTATGGCTCTGGGTATCTTTTCACAATACACCATAGGAGACAGCCAAATCTCCACCCAGGTATAGGTGAGTTCTTTAGGCATGTTTCCTTTCAAATGTCCTGCATCCGAGATGCTTTGAACTCATTAAGGCTTAAAAGTCAACATCTCTCATGATAGGATTCTAAATGAGTGCTTTAGGGGTGTTTCCTATCTAACACACCACATTCAAAATGCTTTGGACTCATTAAGGCTTAACAACCATCCTTTTTACATGATAGGATCATCGTTGAGTCATTTAGGCATATTACTTATCCAACAGCCTGCATCCAAAATGCTTTGGACTCATTAAGGCTTAACAGTCATCCTCTTTACCATGATAGGATTTTACTTGTAAATCTTACTTGACTTTTGAACTAATCATCTTGTCATTAGCAGTGTAAGCTTTGAACTAATAACTTGACGAAATGGTAAGTATTTGTAAGACTCACCAAACTTTACAAATCTTACTTGACTTTCGAACCAGTTATCTCTATTATTAGTAGTGTAAGCTTTGAACTAATAATTGGATGAACATGGTAAGTATTTGTAAGACTCACAAAATTTTGAGACCCATTGCAGCAGACGTCCTTTCGACTATATCTTTTTTTAGACCTTTAGTCAAAGGATCAGTCACATTCTCTTAAGACCGAACGTTAATCACAGAGATGACTCCTTAGAAAATGAGTTCTCTCAAATAGTCATGCTTCAGACGAATGGTCTACTTCTTTCCATTGAACATCGAGTTCGTTGTCACAGTACTCGCTACCTGATTATCACAATAGATAGCAATTATGCCTTGTAATTTTGTTAAGAAAGGTCTTGAAGAAAACAACTGAGCCATTCAGCTTCATCTCCTACAACACAAAGTGCAAAGAACTCGGATTCCATCGATGACTATGTAACCATAGTCTACTTCTTAGACTTCCACGAGACGGCAGCTCCACCCATGGTGAAGACAAATCCTCCAGTAGATCTGCACTCATTTGGTTCTGAGCACCAGCTCGCATCTGAATAGTCTTCAATTACAGTCGGATATCCAGTGTAGAATACGCTCAGACCTGTAGTTCCTTTCCAAATATCTTATCAATCTCTGAATAGCATCCCAATGAAGCTTTCTAAGATTACTTGTAAACCTACTAAGCATTTCTATAGCGAATTATGTCTGGTCTTGTGCAGCTCATCGCGTACATAAGACTCCCAATGATCTTTGAGTACCTTAGCTGCTCTACTGGTCTTCCAGTGTTCGG